GCATCGCTGAATGGTAAGACACATGCGGGCACCACACACATTCATGTGGAGGGCACCAGGCCCAGTTGCAACTGTACCGGTTGCAACACATTCCGGAACCTACCACTGGGCTACACCAGTGATGGCGAACTTTTTTGGCGCTGAGTGCCCAAACTGGAAGCCGTGGGAATGCGTGCACACTGCAGGGCTATAACCTGAAGACCAGCTGGCCAGTGCACAGCTGGTATTTGTGCATGCTGGAGTGGTGGAAACCTGAAGACGAGGCGCTTCGGTACATGCAAAAACCAGCTAGCCAGTGTGTACATTCAGACCATAGTCCAGCAGGCACATGTGCACCAGTCAGCTGGGCTTTGGATTCCGACACTTCAGCACGTGCAAAGACCAGCTGGCAGGCATGCACACATGTGCCGGAAACCAGAAGACCAGCTGGCAGGCGTCCCATAGGTTCGCCATCACAGGGCTACACAGTTCAACTTCCATTGCTCCAAGCCTTTAACTCTCTGCTGGGAATTGTACTTTAGAAACATTTGCAGGATCTCAGGCTGCCCCTCTCATCTTACACAGAAAAACACGCTAGCCGGCTCTTGTGTGACACAGACGGACCTTTGATCATAAGGAGGAACAGTTTAATTCTTGCTGATATTTACGGGTTTCTTTGATTGACTTCATTGAGTTTTGATTCTTGTTGAAAGATTGTCTCCAGCCCTGCCCACTTCCTGGATTTTACTGGAAGAAGCAGGAAGGCCCTTTTCTGCTTCTAGATGCCAACCTTTTTTTGCTTTTCCAGGCCGGGCATCCCTTCCAGCTCCGCTGCGCCCACTCCGCCTATGCGCACGCCCGGCTCAAGCAGGAGGCGCCCACGTTTCTCCTTTTCCTTGATTGCATCTGGCAACTGGGGCGCCAGTTCCCCTTCTCACTGGCATTCAATGAGCATCTCCTGCTGGCACTCTTTGAGCATTGCTATGCCTCACCCTGTGGCACGTTCTTGGGCAACAATGAGAAAGAAAGGTAAAGCAGCAGCAGACCCAGGAGGGGCAGGCAGGGTTGAGGGTGCCAGCTTGGGAGAGCAGGATGCCAAGTAAGATGGTTCAAATCTTCCTGACGAGGGCTGAGAATTCTTTGTCAACAGGCCTTGAAAGACATGGAGGGATGGCCTTGCACTTAATTTGGCCACTTCAAATATCTCAGGTGAAGAAATCTGAGCCACCAAAGATGCCCTAAGCATCCTCCCACTGGTAGAACTCTCCTTTTACTTTTATGAATTGAGATGCACAGGATTTGAACATTAGGACCTGATGTTCTCCAGGAGAAAAATCAATCTAGGAAAGTGGAATGGTTTCACATAGAAGGAAAAGTCACAGCAGCCATTTTTGCAGGGAAGGGGACCAAGATTTCAGAGTCTCTTGGCTGGTTGTTCTCGTTGCTTCTCCCACAAAAATGGCTAAACCAACCATGATAAAACACTTGGGGGGAGGCACAGAACCGGGGTTCAGAGGAGCCTGCAGTGTGGTCAAGATGGTAGTCACAGCAGTGGGATCAAAACTCACATATTTGTGTACATCGTACAGATACTGCACAATGGTGGGATTCAAAAATGTTTACTACCAGTTCTGTGGGCATGGTGTGGTAGGCGTGGTGTGGCTTGGTGGGTGTCATAGGGGAATACTCCGAAATCCTCCCGATCAGCTGAGGCTTGGGAGGCAGAGAATAGATGGGGGTGGGGCCAGTCAGAGGCAGTATTTACTGGTTCTCTGAACTACTCAAAATTTCTGCTACTGATTCTCCAGAACTTGTCAGAATCTGCTGAATGCCACCTCTGGTACTACAGTTNCCACCAGTAGGCTCCTCCCAGGAAGTCCCAAACACTTTTTTTTAATTTGCCTCTTCAAAATCTTGGTCTGTCTTATACTCTGAAAAATATGGTAATTGCTATGTCTCTTCATTGGCTGACCTTGTTCCCATGTCTCTCCCAGTCATGCATATTTTAACAAGCACCATTATAAATTTACCTCTCTCTCTAAAGTTCCACCATGAACCCTTTTCTTTCTGTAGTCTATCCTGTCTAACTATCCAAAGCATAAGCCATGCATTCCATCTCTTCTTAAAATGAGTGCCTGTCTTTTTGTAGCGCGGGCGAGAGATTGCTGTCGGATTCTGAGATGAGTGCTTCAGAGACCACAGTGGCTGATAAAAAGGCACCTGGAAGTGAAAGGGCAGCAGAGAGGGCGGCCGTGGCACAGCAGAACTCTGAAAGAGCACACCTGGGCCCCCAGTCGACATATGTGGACATGCAGGTATTGACTCCTCCAAGGATGGATTTCCACTCCGTGAAGCACTTTTGTGCCTGAGCTTTTTTTCTTGTAGCTATTTCACAACCCAACTAGGTAACATCATGAGCTGTGATGGCACAGTGGTTAGAGTGCAGTACTGCAGGCTACTTCTACTGAAGTAGCCGGCTGCCTGCAATTTGGCAGTTCGAATCTCACCAGACTCAATGTTGACTCAGCCTTCCATCCTTTCGAGGTCGGTAAAATGAGGATCCAGATTGTCAGGGGCAAATGGACTGTAAACTGCTTAGAGGGGGCTGTAAAGCACTGTGAAGCGGTATATAAATCTAAGTGCTTTTGCTATCATTAGTATTGTACTAGAAGGGTGTGGGGTTTGATCTCTGTTTAGAGACAGTTGGTTTGTTTTGCCAGTGTTGATGTGATGTTCTTGGGCAGTTCCTTGATTGGGATGCTTTTTACTGTTTGATTGTTGGTCTAATATTAATCCTGGTGTCAGTCAATCCCTGCTTATGTAGAAGTTGATTGCTGAGAGTAAGCCCCACTCTCTTCTAGCACTGATGATGTTACCCAGTTGGGTAATAAAATGTCTGCAAGAAAACAATCAAGCTCAGAGAGCCCTGAGGACCCCCGAGCTACAAATATTCCCTTCTGTTGGTATAGCAGTCTCTGTGTTGCACTAATACAACCAGCACCAGAGATTTTTGTGTTGCTCTTCTAGTGAGGCTGTCACCTGAAGATTCTCGATACATTGAAATGCATTGCTAATGCTCCCAGTTTTTTCTTTAGTGGACATTGCAGCCCTAATTAGCTGGTTTTAAACGGGAGTTTTAAGTATATCAAAGGTTCATTGGACTGGGGGCACATAGTTGGGTGGTGCCAAGGGTTCCTCCGAGAGAAAGTGATGGATCCTGGTCAAAGCCTTTGTGGCATGTGGAGAAGAGTGAAGGCATGACATTTAGCAAGGATAGTGATTAAGTTGCCTTCTCTGGGTTTCCTTTCTAGGCATTTGACTACGAACAGAAGAAGCTACTGGCAACCAAAGGTATGTGGGACAACTTGTAGCATGTTTCTGTTTGTAAGCAGAGTGATAAAGGAGGCTGCACTCGCCCTCCCCCTGCCACCCATTCCCTTCTGCCCTCGGTTTGGGCTCTGTCATTGTTCCAGTGGAGAAACTGTAGCTTAGACAACATGTTTTGCAATCCAACTGGTCTTTGTTCCTTTTCTTCCCCTTGAAAGGCTCCTGGGGTTAAATTTTCTGAGCAAACAGGATCCCTTTTTATCTTCCTTTTTATGGGGCGATGATCAGAACATACCCTGCCTGTTACAGGACTATTTGGAATGAAATGGAATAGAGTAGGGTAGAGTAGAGTAGAATATGGAATAAGAAGAGAAGAGAAATGAAGCAGAGCAGAACAGAATACAATTGAATTACATTAATCACCATACATTAAAGTGAAATTTCATTGCATTCAACTCTAAAAAAATAATAATCCTATTTCTATTTGCCTTTTTCACTCTTCAAAAGGCCCAGGTTTTGGGAGTTGTTTTTCTCTTGTGTTAAGCAGTGCATATCACTTGTGTATATCACAAGTGTTGCCACTCGGGAGGGTTGAAAGATTTATGCAACCACCAATGGTGGGGTTCAAATATTTTTGCTACCGGTTCTGCGGGCGTGGCTTGGTGGGCGTGGGCTGGCTTGGTGGGCGTGGCTTGGTGGGCGTGGCAAGTGAATGTTACTGCAAAATCCACATTCCCTCCTGATCAGCTGGGACTCGGGAGGCAGAGAATAGATGTGGGCGGGGCCAGTCAGAAGTGGTATTTACTGGTTCTCTGAACCACTCAAAATTTCTGCTACCTGTTCTCCAGAACTGGTCAGAACTCTGTTATTCACCATCCACAAAGACAAACAAGGTTTCAGGCTGACCAATTTCTTCATTTAGTTGGCACATTCCAGATAGGTGCACATCAGCATGTTGTATGTATTTTTGACTCATTAAAAGAAAAGAATCAAGAAAGTCACAGAAAGATGAGGTGAGTATGATAGAAAACACTGTGCCCTGTGGAGTGTGCCAATTATGCCCTCCTTCAATACCTTCAACCCGCAGAGGCCTCATAGAAGCCTTGTGATGTGCATCTCGGTGTACAGATTTAATGGTTATATAATTCAGCTGGCCCCAATGGCATCATTGCAATGATATCGTGAACCATTTGATGCCATTCTGATGTCCTTGTGGTTTGTAACAGATGCCTTAAACTCCCTCCTTAGGTTTCCTGCAGCCATCAAACATGAAGGCATGCAGCAAGATGCAGGTTTCAAGTACTCTATTTTTGAAAAGGGAGTGAGGTTGTTTTTGGTCTAAACAGATGCATTCTTCCATTTTTATAACACAGAGTTCATCCTATACTTATCCTCTTCTTGGCTAGCAAAATCCTTCCATCAAATATTTGCTTGACAGTTTGCCCCTATGCTTCTGGGCTTGTTCTCTGCTTCTTGCTTGAAATTGAGATAAGAAATAAAACAATAACAAAAGATCCTCAACTTCCTTTTCTTTTTTTAAATGCAGCTGCTCCATCTTGCCGCATTCTACATTTGAAAAGCTTTAGGTTTCTTCCTACTTCTGAAGATTTCAGGTTTCTCTTTTCCGTCTTCTGAAACTTCAGAACGACTCTTCTGGCTTTATAAAAATATTGATCTAAATTAGCTTCCAAACTTACCTTCATGTAATTTATAGGAATTAATGTACTTTGTGCGAGCGAATACGTATGCAATGTGTAGAAATAGGTACAGTATACGCTCTCCAGACCACATCACATATTAGCATAATCTTCTCTTGCTGCACGTTCAGAAATATAAACTGAAATATGAAGTGGCCCTAGCAAGTTTAAAACATTTGAAAAGTGGTAAAGCAGAGTGGAAGATTTTCTGGGTCTGATCATCTCCTGCCTAAAGAATTTTGGCTGCTTTTTATGGGGGAAAAAAGATACTGATGCTTATAAATATGCTTCCTGCCCCCTTAAAGCTATGCTGAAAAAGCCTGTTGTTACGGAGGTGAGAACTCCCACCAACACCTGGAGTGGGTTGGGCTTTTCCAAATCGATGCCAGCCGAAACAATTAAGGAGCTGAGGAGGGCCAACCACGTAGCCTACAAACCATCTATGTCGACAACCTATGAGGTATGCACAACTGCAGTGTGTGCTAGGCATGAAAAAAGAAGAAATTTGAGGTTTTCGGTCTGAACTTTGAGCTGATTGGGTCTGAGGTTTGCTGCTGGGACTTCCAAGGTCCCCTCTGACAAAGATGTCTTTGCGTGACTCCTCCAGGCCTTCATGAAACTGCAGGTTGTGTTAACATTTTTGTATGCATGCGGGAGGCAATCTTAATTCATTGGATTTTGTTTATGCCATAAATATCTCAGTTTCGTGTTATCTTCCAGAAAATTTTCTCTTTCTCCTTAGGAGTGTATTAGTGGACACACACACACAAACACACACTGTGTGTGTGTGTGTGTGTGTGTGTGTGTGTGTGTGTGTGTGTAGACTGTATCTGAGTCACTTGGCTAAAGCCCCAGGATCAAACTGCAGCCTGAGTCCTCTGCTCTGTAAGCTGTTTTTTTTTTTCAGAGATTGATGTTTTTCCTACACATGAAACATGTGGGAAAAATAATTTCTAAACAACAAAAACAATCTATTCTTTTGTTTTCCCTGCTTGCATCAGGTTGTTTTCAGAGCCGTCCACGGTCTTAAAAAAAATGATCCATCTGAATTGGGACAAACCTAGCAGGACATAGTGTGCCACAGATGACGAGTTAACATTAATTTGCTTTGATGACACAAATTAAGTGTTGCCAATGTAATTCTTTATTTGTGTATGCCTTTCCCTAAAGGACTCAAGGACTTCTATGACAAGAGTAATTCTTTAACAAAATATTTATTTTTATTTATTTTTTATTTGTCAACAAGTACAAGGAAAAGTATGAAAACACATGAAAAATGGCACAAATAAATGGATAAAAATAAGAAAACATAGCCATAAACACATACAAAGAGTACATATAAATGGGGACAGTAGGACAGGGACGGTAGGCACACTGATGCGCATATGCACTCCCCCTTAAGGACCTCTTAAGAAACACATAAGGTCCACTGTAGACAGCTGAAGGTCAAAGGTATGGGGGTTAGAGGAACTAACAACAGGATCAAGTAGGGTGTTCCACACATTCACTACTCTATAGCTGAAATCGTTTTTCCTGCAGTCAAGATTAGAACAGATTACATTTAGTTTGTATCTATTGATAGCCCTTGTGTTATTGCAGTTGACATTGCTCATTGATTTTATGGGCTGCAACATTGGCACCATGTCCTTGAGTACAGCCAAGTTGACAGTATCTCCACGTGTCACACCTCTTCCTGCTGACTTCCTTGCAGGGTTCCTCCATGTCTCTCTCCCGATCCAACAGCCGGGAACACCTGGGGAGCGGGAGCGATTCCGATAACTGGAGAGATCACAATGGCATCAGTTCAACTGCTCCGGGCGACTTTGTTTCTTCCATCGGCAGCCCTAAACGGAAACAGAAATCAAGTAAGGATTTACCCCGTTGGTTAGGTCAGAGTTCTCATGCAGAGCTACTGATTTGAATAAAAGTTAGCTCCAGTTTGGTTTAGACCAGGGGTGTCCAAACTTGGGAACTTTAAGACTTATGTACTTCAACTCCCAGAATTCCCCAGCCAGCATGCTGGCTGGGGAATTCTGGGAGTTGAAGTACATAAGTCTTAAAGTTCCCAAATTTGGACACTCCTGGTTTAGACAAACCAAGGTCAGTTAGTTGCATCAAGCTATAATTATCAATGATAGGCTATCAGAATAGAATAGAGCTGGAAGGGAACTTGGAAGTCTTCTAGTCCAGTCCCCTGCTCAAGCAGGAGAACTTATACTATTTCAGATAAGTGGCTGTCCCGTCTCTTCTTAAAAAACTCCAGTGATGGAGCTTCCATGATTTCTGAAGGCAAGCTGTTCCACTGGTTAATTGTCCTCACTGTTAGGAAATTTCTCCTTAATTCCAGGTTGCTTCTCTCCTTGATTAGTTTCCATCCATTGTTTCTTGTCCAGCCCTCTGGTGTTTTAGAGAATAATTTTTTTCCAAAGAATTTTTTTTTATTCTCTTACATACCATTTTAAGTATACATTCACATAATTGTTGTTGTTCTTTACATTTATCATTCTTATACATTTATTATTCCATTTAGTAGGTTATAATGTACAGTTTGTGTTGCTTTATTTGCCATCCCTTCCTCCTTTTGTAATACCTCGTTTTCCCTTTCTTTTCTCCCTCCCTTCTCTACTTTCTTCCTTCCACCTCTCCTTCACCTTTCTTCTTCTCTTACCTTTCTCCTACTGTTTCCTCTTCCCTCTCCTACCCTCTCACCTCCTCTTTCTCTCCCTTCCATCCTCCTCTCCTTACCTCTTTCTTCTTTCCCCCGTTTTCCTTTCTTTCTCTCCTCCTCTCTCCCTTTCTTTTTCTATTATTGTTAGTGTATATTTCAAAACTTTGGAGAATAATTTGACCCACTCTTCTTTGTGGCAGCCTCTCAAATACTGAAATACTGCTATCATGTTTCCCCCAATTCTGCTACATCCTATCAGAAACATTAGAGAGTTGGTGACAATAATAGCTTGGTGTCACATTTCTTCCCTCTGTGATGACTTTGTTTCTTCTTCTATATGTCCAAATGTCATAATATAATTTTATTCTCCCAGGCCACATAACAAGAGATAGAATTGGCTAGGGTGCCCCAAAGCAGTGCCCTCCACGTTTGAGATGGCATGCAATATTTGCCTTACTTTGACCAATATTTATTGTGTTCTATTTCCAAGAAAATAAAGATGAAAATGCTTGGTAATCCAACATCAGGCAGAGATTTAGTTGAGATGTCCTTGGTGCTCTCAGTTTGCTTTTTTTTTGCAGACATTTCATTACTCTAACTAGCTAACATCATCAGTGATCACTGATGATGTTACCTAGTTAGGATAGTGAAATGTCTTCAAGAAAACAAGCAAGCTAGAGAGCACCAAGGACCCCTCATTTGAACCCTGAGCTATAAATATTGTCCTTTAGAGATTCAGTTCAGTACTTCTTGGCAGTTTGCAAGCCCCAGAACTTAAGCAGATGAAGGGGCTCCTCGGCCTAAAGCAAACTCAACCTAACTAGAAGCTTGTTGTCTCTTGAACATCTAGGCGAGCATTATCTCAGCAGTAGCAACTACATGGATTGCATCTCCTCCCTGATTGGAAGCAACGGCTGTAACCTGAACAGTCTGTTTAAGGGATCTGACCTACCTGAGTTATTCAGCAAACTGGGCCTGGGTAAATACACAGACATATTTCAGCAACAAGAGGTCAGTGTTTGTGAAAGGTTTGGTGATGGTGATGGTTCCTTGTAGACTACTTTGATTGCTTTGCTCCCATCTGTGGCACTTTCATTGATAAGCAATGTCAGAGTTTGCTGCATAAATTCAAATCCAGAAGCACCCACAGATAACTGATCCAGCAGGATTCATTAACTTCTTTATTTACCTAAGAATAGATGAATAACTGTACAATTTCAGGCAGAGCTTTTTTGCAGTCTTTAAATAAGCTACATTGATGAACTGTTCCATCTTTTAAACTCAAGATGATATCAGCCATTGCTTTGTCATGCTGCCTCTGAACAGCAGCTGTAAAAAACCTGTGGTGGATTTACAACAATATTCCACAGCTTCTTAGCCTTCAGGAAACATTCCATCTTTGAAGCCCAAATAATATAGTTCTTCTGTCCTAAACAAGGCACAGAGCTTTCCTTAAATTCAACAGCAGCCATCCTGCAATCTTTCTCTGCCTGATTTCTCTTTTTAAACACAGGTAGTCCTCAGCTTAAATACAATTCAGTATTCTGTGTGCTTTGGGCCTATAACCTGTCAGAGTTTGTGGCATAAATTCAAATCCAGAAGCACACCCAGATAACCGATGCAGCAGGATTCATTAACTTCTTTCTATACATAAGAATAGATGAATAAATGTACAACACCAACAGGTGGTTCTTCCAAGTAAAGACAAGGCAGGAGAGGCACAGGCAAACAAAAGCAGCTAGTTTCATTTCAGCAGACAAGCCCAGAGAGACTGCTAGTTTCTGTTTCAATTCTTTGCACAGACTCAGATCTATTTAGCTCCCATTGGCTGACTTATTGCTGTGCCTATTCACTGGTTGACCTTGTTTCCATGTCTCCATTCAGTCCCCATTGGCTGATCTATTCCAGTCCATGAATATTCATACTCTGACAATCAAGACCACAGATTCATTCTTTGGCTGTAGGAATAGTTAGCTTCAGCCCTCAATGTTTTTGAAGTGCTATGTTGAGAGAGCCAGTTCTGCAGTCTCAATCCAATTTCTGTGGTTTGTAATCATATCTAAAAAAAACTAGCTCTCTGAAGGAATGGGAGTCTGATTTGGATATTATCAGCAAACCCATCACTCACTGCTTGGGAAATACTAATCAGAGCATCAAATGACCTTGATGGTGTGAAGTCCAACCACTCAGAGTTACTTTGTGATAAGGCAAGCAGTCAATAAGTTTAATAAATAAATAAATAAAAGCAAATATATAAGACTGGTGGCCAAGAAATGATCAGAATAGGATACCTCGATGGGACTGCAGAAAAAGTATGGAATTTCTGGTGAATCTTCACACTGTGTGTTAATTCACTCAGTTATATTCACTGTTAGAGAGATAGTTGAAACATTCTATGCATATGCAAACATACGTGCAGACATGTGTGGCACAAGTATGTGTTTGTATATACTGACATGCCAGAATAAAAATTAATATGACTTTGTTATACGTTTTTCATCTGATGTGATTTCTTTGACTTTTAAAATCACTGTTCCAAAGACAAATGCAATTATCTAATATTTTGCAATACCAACACAACAATCAAATTAATTTTCTGTGTTACAGTAGTTCATCAGCCTTGGGACATACAGACAATTAACCTGTGGGCATAAAGGAATACCAATAATGGCTCAGTAATTTAAAAATTTGTTCAGAAACTGTCATAAATAACTAAAAGGGATTGTCTTTCAGAAAATAATGTACATTAATTCACTGGCAACAGCTCGGAAAAGATCCAGATATTTTCAATTTATATAAACTAATTTTAGAACACAGTAACATCTTTCAAATTGTTCTGCCAGCCATTTTTTTATGACTCACCAAACGAGATTTGAAGGAATTCTATGCCATGAAGGAATTCCAAGGTGATTCATTTGGTTGAGCTCCTAAATCCTCTTCTATTATTTATTTAGGCTGTCAAAATAATCTGTTGCATTTGTTATAAAAATATTGCTCCTTTGATTTTAACGTGCTTTGTATGTTGTTAATAGACGTAATTACCATGAACTGAAATAATGGTTTGACTTCTTTCCTTTGTTACCAATTTGTGTACAAAAATATATTTAGCAGAATGTTCTCCCACAAAAGCCCTCTCGGTGGAAGAGCATCTTAGAGTATGGTGTTGTTGTGTTTTCTCCTAGATTGATCTTCAGACGTTCCTCACGCTAACAGATCAGGATCTGAAAGAGCTTGGAATTACCACTTTTGGTGCACGAAGGAAAATGCTTCTGGCAATCTCAGGTAAAGGAAAATCACTAGCTTGTGCAGTTTCTAAGAATTCTCTTCTTTTTTCTTGACGAGGGAATGTCTGTTTTCAGAAACTAAAAGTACCCCTGTGTGTAGCCATATTCTTGTCCACCCTTATTCTGCCAGCCTTAATTTCTCTCTGTGTCCTCGTAAATCCACTCATGTATCTTTCAATCTGAGATCCATTGATTTCCCTGGGAGTTACTTCTGGTAGGTGAAGTTAGAAATTCTATCAGGTTTCGCCTACCATAAGATTGTAACACACAGTGGCTCAGTGATGCAGTGGCTCAGTGGTTAAGACGCTGAGCTTGTCTATCAGAAGGTCAGCAGTTCAGCGGTTTGAATCCCTAGCACCTCATAAAGGGATGAGCTCCTGTTACTTGTCCCAGCTTCTGCCAACCTAGCAGTTCAAAAACATGTAAAATGCAAGTAGAAAAATAGGGACCACCTTTGGTGGGAAAGTAACTGTGTTCCGTGGGCCTTTAGTCATGCTGGCCACATGACCACGGAGACATCTTCGGACAGCGCTGGCTCTTCAGCTTAGAAACAGAAATGAGCGCTGCCCCCTGGAGCCAGAAACGACTAGCATACATGTGCAGGGGAGCCTTTACCTTAACATCAATGATGATTTATAGTCAGGGACATGCAAAACCCCATAAGGAAGCCCATGTCTTTATAGGGTCCCCTTGAAGAGAGACAGGTATATCTCATGTGCTGGCAGCTTGATGCCTCTTTCACTTTAAACCAAAACAATTGTCTCAATAGACCTGTGACAGATCTATTGCCTTTCATGACCCAAATCTATCCTAAATTATTTTACATCTTGTGTGGGTACTGTGGTAGAATCTCCAGCTAGAGGGGAGGGAGGTGTTAAGAAGGGACCAAGCTTGGAGTCTTGGCATTGCAGAAAGTAGCACCGGTCTGAGCTCCTCCAGATTCCCTGAAGCTTTATGTGACCATTCCCAAGGGAATGCAGTCACTCGGGTGACATTCTTGTAACACAGGTGCCTAGCAATAAAGCTTCTGCTTGAGGCTATTCACAAGTGGTTCTCATTGAGGACCACAGAGAATCCGACTGGATGAGCCATAGTGACCAAGTGGTTAAAATGCAATATTGTAGGCTGCCTCTGCTCATTGCCAGGAGTTCTATCCTGATCAGTTCAAGGTTTACTCAGCCTTCTGTCCTTCCAAGATCAGTAAAATGAGGACCCCAGATTGTTGAGGGCAATAAAACATATTGTAACCTGCTCAGAGAGTGCTTTAAGGCATTACAAAGTGATATATAAGTCTAAATATCATTGCTATTGCTTGCACCCGACAGGTGCATATTGCATTTGATTGGACTTAGTTTCCCTGGTCTATGAAATAGTAAAAATGCCTCCTGCTAGATTGCATTTGGTGTCCAAATTTTGAAGGGAAGCTTCTCTTCTCTCTCCTCTCCACTCCCCACACAGAACTGAACAAAAACCGAAGAAAACTCTTTGAACCCTCCAATGTCCGAGCCTCGTTTCTGGAAGGCGGCGCTAGTGGACGGCTGTCTCACCAATACCATTCGGACATTGCCAGCGTGAGCGGTCGTTGGTAGCAGGAACAGGAGGCTTTTACAGTTGACTGCACAACTCCATGGATACGGCAATCCTGTGGACCATCACCACTGCACACCACCCTCTGCACTTGGGAGTTTAGGTACCAAGGACCAAAGTCTTTTTTTTTGCACAACTTCCTGTGGCAAAAGAAAGAGAGAAAGAACACTCGTCTGTCTTTCCACGCACCCAATGTGGATTACGCCTTACTCTTCTAGATTGGACAGAATTTGCAATAATATTGGGGGGGGGGGGTTTGGGGTGTTTGGTATTTTATGACTTATAATAACTATATTGTATGCACTGAATGGATTTTTTAAAAACTTTTTTGAATAGAGAGTGATGGGCAGGGATGCCAGAGGGGGTCATTGCTTATGGGTTTTTTTATCAAGGAAATTTCTGGTACTGCTTAATAATTAATAGAGGTCTTTCTGCACTTTATGTGTTCGGATTGCTTTTCCTGTGGAAATTTTTATTACTTTCCTCTAATTTCCATGGGAAAAAAAAAGATTACGGTAGTGGCGCTAACCAATGTTTGCCAGGTGCATTCCACTCCAGGTGAAAAGGCTCCCCCCCCCTAAAAGGTACTAACGAGTTGAAATGTAGAGAGGATGGTGATGGTTTTATTTAGACAACTGTAGGGAATTTTCCCGTAATCAGTTCTATGAAGAGGAGTCTGCAGCCTCCTTTGGAAGGAAGTCTTGAGAAATATTTGCGACTGAGTTTGCCCACTGCAAACCAAGCAGTGAAAGACCAAAACAGAGTGTGTTGCCATCGCTAATCCTAGTTAGCTGCTGCCTTCAATGCTAAACCGGATTTTAATGATGATCTCAAACCAAGGACTGTTTTTAGTATAAACTGCCACTAAAGGACACTTTATTTATAGCAAACGTCTTATTTTTAGAACCTGTACACTTAGAGCGCATAAGAAATTAAACTGATTCTACTAAAGAGTTTATGGTAGAGGAACATGAAGCATATCTCTAGGCCCTTCATTCATTTGAACAGAGCATACATTTCATTTGACAAGACTTGTCTCTATTCCCCTACGGAACATTGCTGACATGATTCTCCCATTTAAGAGCTGGTCAGGTTGTGACATCTGCCTCCTTGACTTAAGTCCACGATTGTCTGCCACCAAGGTTTTGAGTTGGGCTACTTCCAGAACTCTGTATTGGAGCAAAGAGTTTGTGGGATGTCTTGGTAGGGCAAACAGTGATGTTCTCACCTTGTAAAAGATCTAGAAATCCAATTATATTGTCTCTGTCAAATGATTTGGTATAAATTTATGAAGGATGAAATGAAGTTGCCTCTCAGTGATGCAAAATGATGTTTCTGAACACGAATTTATCAATAGAAGAAAAACAACATTCCCATTGCATATATTGTGAATTACTTGTACTGTAATTTTTCCTTTTTTTATTTATGTACAATGTACAAACCCTTTAGGGTGGAGGCAAACCACTCTCCAGAAAGGCATTAACAATTACCATGGTGGTTTTTAAATATATATATATATATGTATAGATATATATGCAACATAGAGGTGAGGAAGAGTTTTGACACTTTTTGTGGATATATTTCATTTCCGTCATGAAGGAGACACCAACACAAAGGGAAGATTAGAAAGGTGAAAGCTTAGTTAAAATTAGAAAATAATAATCAGCTGTACATCAGAATTCATTTTAATCACAACCTATGACATCTCAACAGCTTCTCACTCCTGCTGAAATAGCTGCTGATATTTCTCTGATTTTTGGAAAAAAACAGCCGGATGAGCACAGCGAGTGCTTTTTCTCAGTCTGGAGTTGTGCATTATTCAGGAAACAAATATTGGTTTTTTTTTTCTTTTGAAACATAGTCTGTCTGTCAATTTGTACAAAATGGAGGTCCAGATATTTTCAAAGAACGCTACGTGTTTTATCGTGGCTGCTCCCTTCGGTGGGAAACTCGGCATTGTGTTGTGAAGCACAACTGTTGTTAAAAGTTCAGGACCTCGGGAGGTGGTGAAGCATTTCACCCCATGTGGAAAACTAACGTTGTTTAATCTGTGCCAGAGTGATTCAGTTGAGTCTTTTGGTTTACGTTGAGACCTAACACACAATGTATTCCACTGGAGATTTCTCACTCTCTCTCTCTCTTGGATTTTGTGATATTTTCCCCCCCAGTTTGAACTCAAATGGCCGAATGCTTTGATAGTGATACCCTTGGAAGACGCATTTAAGCTGCAGTGGTCTATACTGAAGCAAAGAATGTCTGAGATATAACGGGAATAAGAAATTCCCCTTCCACTGAGACACCCACCCACATACCCCACTGGGAAAGCAAAACTTTGTTACTCATTTGGATTCCACGAGAGGAGAAAAAATGGCAACGCAACATTCAGTATTGTCAGTATTGTATTAATGCACAAAGAGTACCGAAGCATTCGTTTTAAAATATTGTGCCTTTATAGCGACCAGTTATCTGTAAATATAGAGCAGATACAGATTGTATTTGGGGAGGGATGGATCCTTTTTAGTGATTTTTTTTAAAGGTAAATAAATAAATAAACTATGGAATGAAACATTTACAAATGGAGAATTTCAAACTAATCAAATGTTACATGAAAGAATAAATTTATATAACCCTTGTTACATTGCTGGTTAAAGGAAGTCTGGTTTTATTTCTAAACATGTTACTTAACCGGAATGATTGCTCTAAACTAAAGACTACAAGAGTGAGGTGGCTCACTTTTTCCTTAAGCTAAGATAGTGATTGTAAAGGGAAGTCAGGAAGAGCAGTGGGATCTCAATTATTTTTTTCCTGGATTAAGGTATGTATTCTGTGAAGCATTATGTCAATATTTTTCTGTTGCCATGGTGGCGTGGAGTGCTTGGGTGCAGTTCCTTCTCTTTTATGCATGGCGTCTAGTGCTACCAAAACAACTGGAAATACAATGACACCCCACTCCCCCAAATTTCCAAATGCAGACGTAGGGATTGCATAGCTCAATGCTATGAACAACAGTTGCAGGAACAGTTAGCATGGCTAGTTTAGTGAAGAGAAGGACCAGGGGAAGACAGGATAGCAGTCTTCCAATATTTGAGGGTCAAGCTGTTTTCCAAAGCCCCTGAAGGCCAGACAAGGAACAATAGATGGAAACTGACCAAGGAGAGGTTCAACCTAGAAATAAGGAGGAACTTTCTGACAGTGAGAACAACCAACCAATGGAACAGAAGTCGGAAGTTATGGCAGGTTCATCACTGGAAGCTTTCAAGAAGAGACTGGACTGCCATTTGTCAGGAATGGTGTAGAGTCTCTTGCTTGAGTGGGGGGTTGGACTAGATGGCCTATAAAGTCCCTTCCAACTCTGTTAATCTGTTAATGCTGCTTCTTTCCTTTCCCCAAAACACCTTTCTTTGGAAAGTGGCCTTGAAATTGACACTTCTCTTTAATGTGATTTGGGTACTATAAATTAAGATCACCTCTTTGCTCACATTAGTTGGGGAGCCTGTGTTGACAATGATGCATGCCTCTAATTAGTTGTGCTGGAACTGACACATGGACGAAATGGATGATAGGTATTGAAGCTTTGATTCCATTGAGCTATGCAGATGTCTCCAGCACTGTGTTGCTGTCTCTGGTGCAAAGTTCTTGAGAAGAGGGGGAAATTAGATCTCTGTTTTCCCTTCCCAGGAATTGTAAGACCCACGTACTGGTAGCCTCTTCAGCAGAAAATTGGGATACTAATAAAAATAATGAATAGAATATCTGAATTCGAGAAAGATAATTCAGAGATTGAAGGTTTGCAAAAAGCTAAAATTTAAACTGAGTTTTGAAGTCTTTTCAAAGATTGCCAGTTGATTTATTTTCATCAACGTCGCCAATGACTTTTCAGCCCTGTCAAAAAGTGATGGAATTGTCATTCCTGCTAAGATGTAAAACATAGAAACAAGCAGCATGAAAGTGCAAAAATCAAATCAACATGCAAAAAATGAATTTCTGCACAGAAGAAGCGATGCTGTGCAATAAGCAGACACTTAAAGAAAAGATTGTCCAACTGGAATGATTACTTTCAAACAGTTGCTCAAAGTTTGGAGTTGCATCTGAAGAAAGAAGGATCTCCCCCAAAATGCCAAAAGACATCAGGGCAAAACTTGGGTCATTGAATGCGAAAAGAAAATCAGGGTGTTTGACTTTGGGGCAGAAACAAAAAAAATTCAGTGGGATCAGATCAATTTAGTTTTAGCTGGAAATCACTTAAATACAACTACATAGGTGCAATTAATTTTTTAAAAATCCGTTTTCTAAAACTTGTAAAATTACTGTTTGATGGTACTCTGTGGTGGGACACAGCCTAAGGCTTGAAGTATCTCAAGTGTCCTTTTGCTTTTCAGTGCAAACCTTATACATGCAGAATTCAAAATACAATTGAGCTTTCCTTGCTTCCTTCTCCTCTCCCACTTTTCTCTTTCTTTTTCTTAAATTTATATTGCCGCCTATTCACCCATGGCAACTCAAGGCGGCTTACAGAATATAAACCACATCTAAAAACAGTAAAACTAATCAAAAATCAAATAAATTAATGTAATAAAATCACCTCCCGCCCCAGCAACAGCCAATCACATGATCCACTTAATGGGTTCCATCCTGCTCTGTGTTCTCCAGGCCCTTTCACTGAACCAGGTCTTCAGCTCCTTCCAGAAGACAATTAGAGTGGGGGCCATTCTAATCTCTTGGGGGAATGATGTTCCAGAGAGAGGGAGCCACCACTGAGAAGGCCCTTCTTCTGGGTCCCACCAAGTGTATCTCCCTCAGGGATGGGACCCGCAACATTCCCAGCCTCCCCGCTCTGATGGGTCAGGTAGATGTGACCAGCAAGAGACGGTCCCTCAGATAACCTGGTCCCAAGCCACGAAGGGCTTTAAAGGTGACAACTTTTGCACCCAGAAGCAAATCAGCAACCAAGGAATCCCGCAGGAGAGGGGATACGTGCACACCAAGGTCTGCACAAAACCATGCAGGCCACTGCATTTTGCACCAACTGGGGCTTCTGGATGCTCTTCCAGGGCAGCCCCATGTAGAGCATGTTGCAGGAGTCAAGACAAGAAGTTCCTGTCTTAAGGACCATTCAGATGAGAAATACAAGCGGGAATGGAGAAGATGGATTGATTATATTCAGAATAAATATGGGACTAAGAAACTCCAGATAGCTTATGAGTGAATGAGCAAGGAATGATACAACTTGTTTAAAGTTAGCTTTATAAAAGGCAAGTTAAAGTACAAGTGATGCTAATGTCTGTTAGTTTATTTTAGAATATGGTTGTTAAATGTTTATACCCTGTATTTGCTCTGGGAGGTTGGCGGGGGGGGGAGGTTGGGGGGGGGGGGGGGGG